CAGCATTTGTCGATGGAGGTTCTCAATCTTGCGCATCATTTCGCGTTGATGTAATCGCCAGGGGCTGCTGATGGGCGCCAACCACTGTACCATGGCAGCGGCCGCAACCGCAGCAGCCTCCATCTCCTCCTCAACAGTGTGTTGGTCAGCCAGAAGGGTGCGTAGGTCTGTGCGCAGCTTAGCCGGACTGAAAAGCCCTAGGTCGTGGCCTGAAATTTAAAACAAAAATGGTTGAGAATATCTAATGCTATATGATATATAGGGCTTAAGCTTTTGTGTCAACCTGAACCGGAGAGTCAGTTATCTGGACAAGAAGAACATATTGCAAATCGAAGTCAAAGGTTACTTAACGGGGTTTGCGGGTAGCAAAAGGTGACATACCTTCGACTAGAAAATTCTATCAGTAATATATATCGATATCGATCAGTAAGAACTAGCTAACCTAGTGGGGCATTTTCCTACCGAGTAGCAGTACGCATGTACATCGAAAAAAATATTTGCAAAATGCATTGTTATAATTTCCCCTCCTGTATGGCGTTTGCCAGAGATTACACCCTCGTGGTAGTTCGTCCTTTAGAGTGGAGAAGGTGTTGATTCCAAAAAGTGACTTTTGAGGGATATTGAAATACTTACATGCATATTTGGGTACGCACTGGGATCAGAAACCTGCTTAAGGAGCATGTAAATTGTTGCGGACATAAAATGCTACTTTAAACGTCAGCATGCGTGGAGTTCGTAAAACTTAATCACATTCAAACCCAGGCCGTGCTGCCAAAAGGACTTGCTGCATTTTAGAATGTTGAACTATAGTTTGCTTTAAAATTTTGACTCTACAGAGGGCTACATTTCCAAAAGACCGTTTGAAATAATCTTTTTTAAATCCACCTTATAAGTATTCAGTAACTTTATATGCAACTTGAATAGAAACGTCTTTGCAACTTCAGTGAGGATATTATGTGTCCCCTAAAGGGACCGCGTAGTATATGTGCTGGATCAACAAGGGGGCTAGATCAGAGCACGACACGTTATTCGGGTTGCGTTCCCATAACAACTGCCGAACATGGGGGCGTGGTGTCACGCGTAGAGGCGGCTTCGGCCGCGCCAGCCACCTGCGCTCGATCCCACCTCCGGTCTTCGTGATTCTGTCTTGACACCGGCAACGGGCGGGTGTAGGGAATACGGAGTGCGGTAAATGCAACGAACGTTTACTATCACTTAAAACTCGTCCACGCGCAAGTCACCGTCCCTGCACCACCATCCTGTTGAGCACACGATAGACCTCGGCGGATGCGACGATC